GCTGGGTGCAGGAGGGGCAGGGGGAGGATTTGGGCTGGGGCAGGAGCTGTGGGTGGGGTTTCAGCCCCTGCATTGTAGGAACACGGTGTTTTTGGGGACCGGTCAGGCAGAGGAGGTGGAGGATGATGCACCCGCTGTGGAGGTGCTGGCTCAGCAAAGTCCCACAAAGCTAGGCTCAAATTCTCTGGCCAGAAGCTAAAACGAGTGCTCAGGGGGCTTTGAGGATGAGGTTTTCTGTGGACCCGTGAGGGGAGAAGGAGAATCTGAGCCTTGAAGAACAAGAGCAAAGAGCAGAGTCAGAGGCTCCTGATAGAGCCCACACCAGGAACTGGGGGAGCGGAGCACGAGGGGTTCCTTGGCTTTTTTTTGGCTGTCTCTGCTTCTGCAGAGGTGTTTGTATTGCACCAAGAGTGGGTGCAGATCCCAAAAAGGGAGAAAAAGAGACAAGGAGCAGAGAAGTAACACAGTGTGTATTTGGGAAATGACTTGGGTGAGTCCTTTCCACAGCTCTGGGCCCAACTCTGAACTCAGTGGTGGGCTGGGGTCATGGCCTGATCCCAAAAGGATGGGGACGGGGGATGAGTCACTTGTGGGAGCCCCTGCAAGTGTTCTGCTTTGGGCTGTGGTTTTGTGAGTGCTGGGGACTGTAGCTGGTGCCTTCACTTGGGAAAAATGTGAGAAACGCTCAGCTCATTTGTGGTGCCACAGAGCTGGGAATCAGCATCCTCCAGGCCAGAAGCCCAGAGCTGCTGCTGGGGGAGAACAGGATCTGTGGATCTGTGGGCACAGGAGGTGTGAGGGAGGGAGATGACAGACTCTCTGAAGAGCCATGGACCCAGCTGATAACTGTGGGGAGCTGCAAGGGAGGAGCTTGCAGTGCTGCTGCTCCAGTTCAGCCTCCCTCAGCACAGGGAGAGCAAAGCTACAGCACCTTTTCCTCTTTACAGTGAACCAAAGCTCTGACCATTCCGAGCTGGAAGAAGGCTTCCAGTTCATCCTGCTGGCATCAAAAATGATGCCCCTCCTTGAAAAGAGGCTGGAAGCAGTGGGGAGCAGGTGGGGGACGAGGGCCTGGGGACTTAACATGCACCCTGATGCCTTTTCTGGCGGGGGCAGCTGTTTGCTGTGCTGTGCGTGCCATGGTGAGGCCGGGGTGATGCTGGGGACAGGCGCTGCTTGTCCTCTGCTTCCTTTGAGAAGAGCTTCCTCCAGCCCTGGAGATGGACCCTGGGGGAGGGAGAAGTTGCTGGAGCTCAGAACACAGCCCCATTGTGTGCCTGTGTTTTGCTCCCGGCAGCGTCCTGGCCCGAGGTGATGATGGGGAAGCCTCTCCGATGCCTTTTCGGAGGGCAGGATAACTCCACTGGGACTCCATCCCTTGCACAACCCTCTAGAGCCTCAAGGGATGGGAACATCATCCTTTCATCAGGGACAGGGAGAGGGGGATAAAGTTAACCATTGCCCTGCTGCCTGTGGGAGCAGAGAGCACCGTCCCAGCACTGGGGGCTGATGCTGAGGGGGGGCTTTTCCAGCCCAAGAGGCTGCTGGAGCCCAATGCAGGACTGTCCTTTTCCCTGGATTCCCAAAGCTGTGGCCTGCAGATAAAGGGATGTTTGTTAGCTGGGCACACTGTGTTTTGCCGAGCAGAACAATAAAGAGAAAGACACTCACAATGGGAAATTGTGCTTCCTCCTCCCTGTGCGCTCCTCGGGGAGGTGTTGGAGGGGGAAAAAAAAGAGAAGAAAGCGAGAAGAGACGGTGACAGGGCAGGGAGCAAAGGCACGGCCGGCACCATGGGAGCGGGCATCAAGGGCCCGCGGGGCCACAGGGCTGCCAGGACACTGCCCGCCCCAGGACGGTGACGGGGTGGCTGGGAGCACCTGCTCGCCACCTGCCGTGTCCCCGTGTCCCCGTGTCACCTCTTCCCAGGAGCCTTGTGGCGCAGGTCCGGCCTTCCCAGCACCCTCGGCCCCACCATGGGGTGTTCATGACGGAGACGGGAAGCAGCAGGAGCTGGGGCAGCACGCGGGCTGGGGGCGTTGGATGGGCACTGCGGCTCCCCGAAGGACACATCTGGGGACGGTAAGAGACCGGGGGGTGCCAGGAAGGAGGGTTGGCACAGTCTGTGGGGTCGGTGTCCTGCAAGTGATGTCCCCTCTGCACAGTAAATGTCAGAGAGCCCCCGCAGGGCAGGGCCACATCCTCCAGGCCCCACCAAAGCTGGGCTGTGTCCCACTGCGTGTCCCTGACCCCTGCGATCCCCCCAGGCACCATCCTGCCCCCGGCTCTAAGGATGCACAGGCTGCTCCTGCTCGGCTGCCTCTGGCTCCTGGCAGCACCCCCAGCGTCCAGCATCTTCCAGCGGCCGACGGGGACCCCAGGTAGGGAGCTGGGCCTGGCAGGACAGGGAGTCTGGGTGAGGATCAGGGCCTGGGGGACAGGGTGTGGAGCCCGTGTACGGAGCAGGGCCTGCAGGGAGGACAGGGCACTGCTGTTTGGAGTCGGTGCTGGAGAGGGGAGGTGAAGCAGGGCAGGTCCAGCCAGGGCAGGAGCTGAGCTGTGCCTCCTGAAGGTGCAGGAGAGACGAAGAGGAGCCAGGATGGGTGAGAGAAACCATTAGATGCCGGTGAGGGTTGAGGGGTGCTCGGGGAGGTGTCGGAGGAACAGTGGCTGGTTGGTGCTGAGGCTGCCTGGGGGCTGCAGCCCCACCACGCCTGCAGTACCTGCTGGAGCCCCTCCACCCCACGGTGCACACGAGGCGTGGTGCCACGGCCACCCTGCCCTGCGTCCTGCGCGCCCTGCCCCACAACTACCGCGTCAAGTGGAGCAAGGTGGAGCCGGCCAACTACCGGGAGAACATCATCATCATCACCAATGGGCTGTACCACAAGAACTACGGGCCGCTGAGCCCACGGGTGCGCCTGCGGCACAGCCACCGCTACGACGCCTCCCTCACCATCACCGATGTGGCACTGGAGGACGAGGGGCGGTACCGCTGCCAGCTCGTCAACGGGCTGGAGGATGAGAGCATCTCGCTCATGCTGCACCTTGAGGGTGAGGCTGGGCTACATCTCTGGGGGTGTGGCAGGAGGGGGACCCTGGAATGGAGGTGTGTGGCTCTCTGCCTCCACCCATGTCCCGCATTGCATCGCCCCATTCCCCAGCCTTAAATTCAGCACTGAATCCCCAGGGATGTTAAGTCAAAGCCTGCCTGGGGAGAGCGTTGCCCTCAACCTGTCCCTGTCCCTCTAGGCGTTGTCTTCCCTTACCAGCCCAGCAATGGGCGCTACAAATTCAACTACCACGAAGCCAAGAGAGCCTGCGAGCAGCAGGACTCGCGCCTCGCCACCTACCAGCAGCTGTACAAAGGTGAAGCATTCAAAAAAAATTCCTTTTCAGCCCTAAACCACGCCTGTCCAGCTATGGGGAGGAGGGAGGTGCCGGTGCTGAGCCCCCTCTCTCTCCACAGCCTGGACGGAGGGTCTGGACTGGTGCAACGCCGGCTGGATCCTTGACGGGACCGTTCACTACCCCATCATCAACTCGCGGGAGCCGTGTGGTGGCCGCCTCCTCCTGCCCGGTGTCCGGACCTATGGTGCCAGGGACAAGCAGAAGGACCGATTCGATGCTTTCTGCTTCACCTCTGCTCTCCAAGGTAGCGCTGCGGTCCCCTGTCCTCACAGCGTCACCAAGCCCTGCTGCCCACCCGGATTTGCAGCGGGGCTGAGGTTGTTTGCAGGAAGGTGCTCACCCACCGTGTCCCCCTTCCACCGCCAGGCCAGGTCTACTTCATCCGGGGCCACCTGAACTTCAAGGAGGCCGGGCAGGCGTGTCGCAACCACGGGGCTGCCATTGCCAAAGTGGGACAGCTCTACTCAGCCTGGAAGTTCTCACAGCTGGATCGCTGTGACGGGGGGTGGCTGGCGGACGGCAGCGTCCGGTACCCCATCACCACCCCCCGCGAGCGCTGCGGGGGGCTCCCCGACCCTGGCGTCCGCAGCTTCGGCTTCCCCAGCAAGGAGGTGAGGACCTACGGCGCCTACTGCTTCGTAGGGAAGTAAGGACACTGGGAGGAGAGGGGGGCTGAGCAGAGGGGACAGCGGTGGGACACCAGTCCTCATCAGCTGGGCAGAGGCTTGAGGCAGGGTAGGAGGGGTGGTCTCCCAGTGATTTCGGGTGGTTCGGGCATCCTCTGATTAAGTGATGGAGCTGGATGTGGGTTCTTGGTGCGTCCCCCAATGGAGTGCCCGTGTCCCAGCCTGCTGTGAGGCTTGTGGGGTGTTTGGGATGTACTGGAGAAGCCAGACCCACTGCTGGACCAGGAAGGGGGGGTCTAATCCAGGCCCCCAGCAGATGGCACAGGCTGCCCATTCCCCAACCCTGGTGAATCCCTCGCCCCACCCTCACTCCCCACAGCTGTGAGGACTATGGCTGATGACTCTGGCTGCTGCAAGTGCAGAGGACTCGGGCTGGGCATTAACGAGTGTGACTAATGGCGTGTTGCCTTTTCAATTAATAAAGCAACAGCAAAACTGTGTGGCAAAGGCACACGCTTGCCTGGCTCCTTCCCCTGGGGCCATCTCGCCTCTCCATGAGGGGAATTTGACAGGGACTTTCCATCCCCAGTGCCATGTCCAGGGGTTATCTGTGTTCTGGTCGCTTCACTTGAGGGTTTTATGGGTGTTGCTGTTCAACACAGGCAGGAGAACTATAAAAAGCTGTGGATCTGGCACAGTGCAGGGGGAATAACAGCATGGGGAGATACCCTGACACTGGTGATGCTCTCACATTCCCATACATTTGCTGGGAGCAGTGTCCCATCCCGAGCCCTGAGCAGTACCCAGCGCTGCTGGGATGTGGGGACACTTTGGGTTGTGTGCCCCTGTTTCTGTGCCTAGGCTCTCCACTGCTGCCACGCTCCTTGCTTAGGGGCTGTACAGCCCTGCCAGTCCCACCCCTGTGCCAGACCCCCCCCAAATAACCAGGTCACCACTCTGTGCTACCTGTTTACTGGTTTTAATGGTTTTAATACCCACAGAAGCACAGAGAAGGGTGTTGGCACCATGCACCCACTCCAAGCCTGCCACAGCAGCTTCTGCCTTTCCAGGGAAGTGCAGAAGCCCCTCCACAGCTCAGGATGGGTACTGAGCTGCAGCAGAGCTTGGATGTCCCCATGTCAATCCCCACCAGGGAGTCACAGGATGAGGACCCTTCGGGTAGAGGTGGGAGGAAATGGCTGGAGGTGATGCTGGCACGTCACTGCCATCCCCTGCCCATGATGTCTCCCCAGCTTTCAATTCTGTTGTGACTCCGGGAACAAAACTCCTGTTGTGCCGCATTTTGGGTCACCGTCGGTTCCTTTCAAGGGGGTCTTTAATTATTAGGATTTCTTTGTACAGATATAAAACAAACAAGGGGGCAGACACCCGACAGTGAGGTTTCACTCCACGTCGGGGTCTGCGCCGGGGTCCCAGTGCCGTCCCCATCCACAGCGGCTCCAGGGCTTGGGGAGGCGGTGGCTGCTGCCCCAGGGACTCACTCAGTTGTTGGGGGGCTGAGCCAGGCCTGGAGGGACACAAGAAGTCCCGGCTGAAGGGAAAGCGCCACGGGCAGGTTCTGGGGGGTCGGGGTGTCACTCACCAGGGCGACAGGCCAGCTGGGGTGGCTCCCACGTGCCGTCCTGGCGGCAGCGGATGACGGGCGAGCGGCGCGGGGCGAAGCCGTGCCGGCACTGGTACCGTGTGATGGAGCCCACCTCGTAGCGCTGCTTTGGTTTGCCAAAGGCACGGGCGTTGCTGAGGGCGGGGGGGGGCCCGCACTGCACTGCAAGGGGGGGCAGCTCATTGCAGTCAGCCCTGGAGGGCCCCCCCAGCCCGGAGCAATCCCCCTAAAGCCCAAACAGGCTGAGGGTCCCGCGCACAGAACTCGTTTCCCTGCTCTGGAGGTGGTGGGAAGCCCCTCTTTGGAGTGGTGGGGGGTGCAGCCGCAGCCCCCCAGCCTTGGTGGGGGGGAGGCACGGCTTACCCAGCCCCATTTTGCAGGTGTAGGACAGGTGATAGTTGCAGGGCACATCGCTCCACTGGCCCCCATCGTGCCACACGATGACCACGCAGTTCTCCCCGGAGAGGAAGTAGCTGTCGGGCTGCCCGGGGTGCCAGTTCTCGTAGAGCTGGGGGGACAGGCGGGACGGGGTGCACGGGGCATCCCAGCACAGCCCTTAGGTGCGGGGGTGGCCCTGCACCAGCACGCACCCATCTGCAGCCTCCTGGCTGGGACATCTCCATCAGGAATGGGGTCCCACCTCCGTGCCCCTCAGCATGGCCTCAGAACCCCAGATCCCAGGGTCTGGCTCCCCTGAGGATGCTCAGCCCCGGTGAGGCAAGTGGCTCTTGTTTGGGAGCTTTAAAGCCCAGCCCCGGGGCTGGAGAAGGATAACGAGGGGCAGGGCAGGGTGGTCTCCCCCCACGAGGGTACACAAGGGCTGGCAGCCCCGCTTACCAAGGGGCTCCCGTCGGACCACTGGAAATCCCCCTCGATGGTCCGGTCGTTCAGGCCGATCCACTGGTATTCCCTGTACTGGTCTGGGGGACACGGGGTGTGTTGGAGACAGGGACACATCCAGGTGCCACCAGTCAGGAGAGGGCTGCAGGCTGAGTTCAGGGGGATTGGGGATCTGGGGGTGACTGGGAGGTGGGGGTGTCTCTAGCCCTGCACCGGGAAGGTGCTGGGAAGACTGGGGAGAAAGGGACCCCCGAAAGGGACATCGGAGGCCTCCTTTACCCCTGAGCCCCGGGAGGCGGGACAGGGCCGGCCGGGAGAGGGCGGCAGAGCCC